GAGCAGCCTGCAGTGGCCAGTGACTGCTCAGCCGTCAGATGAGGGATCCTTAGGGAACAGGCCCGAAAACCGCTCCGGAGCCTTTTGCCCTTCTAGCCAGGGCTGGCTTAACGCAGGGGCATTAAGGGCTGCAGCTAAAGGGCCCTGCAAAAATAAACCCCTGCCTACCCGTGTTCACCAGCTCATCAGTCGCCATTGACGAGCAGCCTGCAGTGGCCAGTGACTGCTCAGCCGTCAGATGAGGGATCCTTAGGGAACAGGCCCGAAAACCGCTCCGGAGCCTTTTGCCCTTCTAGCCAGGGCTGGCTTAACGCAGGGGCATTAAGGGCTGCAGCTAAAGGGCCCTGCAAAAATAAACCCCTGCCTACCCGTGTTCACCAGCTCATCAGTCGCCATTGACTGTCTGACCCAGGATCTCTGCGTCGCTACGCGTCCGGCCGCACAGCAGGGCTCAGGCGGGCAGCTGGAATATCCCTACGTGCCCCCAGGGGGGAGGAGACCGCGTGTCCCTGTGAATTGTCCCCGGGCACAAATCCCCGCCCCCCTATAGCTCCCATTGGCTAGTTCACAGTCAAAGGGAGCTGTGGAGACGGCGCTAAGGGCGGAGCAACACATGGAACCTTTCCCCGTGCCAGGGGCCACAGAGATGTTCTAGCTGCTACCAGGAGTGGCGTGGGGCCAGGGCGTGCAGGCCACCGGCCTTAACCCTGCTGCAAGCTGCCTGTGCTAAGTGTCTCTTGGGCAGAGCCTGCACCTCACATCCCCTCCTGTACCCCACTCCCTGCCAGAGCCCACACCCGTCCCCCTCACCCGTATCCAACCCCATGCGCCAGGTCAAAATCCCTCACAGCACCAAACTCCCTGCCAAAGCCCACACTCTCCCCTCTCTCCTGCACCCCAGTACCCTGTACCAGGTCCTTGCCAGAGCCCACACCCCTCCCCCTCACCTGCACCCCAACTCCCTTCCCCAGGTCAATCTTCTGCTGCACCAAATTCCTTTCCCCTTACCTGCACCCCAACCCCCTGCTCCAGGTCAGAATCCCCTGCTGCAGCAAATCCTCCCTCCCCAAGCCTGCATCCCTCCCTCTCTCCTGCACCCCAAGCCCCTGCCCCAGGTCAGAATCCCCTGCTGCACCAAACTCCCACTACCCTGAGCCCGCACCCCTCCTCCTCCCCCTCCCCCTCGCCTGCATCCCAATCCCCTGCTCCAGGTCAGAATCCCCTGCTGCACCAAACTCCACCTCCCCCCTGAGCCTGCATCCCTCCCCCTCACCTGCACCCCAACTCCTTCTCAGAAAGAACTAACCTGACAGCTGTTCTAAGGCCAGGCAACGGCTATTTTGAATTAACAGGATTCTCCGTGCTTAAGACTGAACTGGAACCACAGAAGGGCTTTGTGCTCACTCAAAGCCAAGCTGAGTCCAGTGTTACTAGCCTGGATGCCGTAAGTGCGATCACTGGCTATGTCTACGTTACAAGTTGTCTTGGCAAAAAATATGCTAATGAGGGACTCATTTGCATGAGTCATGGACTCATTTGCATATGTTCTGCCAATCCATTTTTGCGCTAGGGTTTTTCTGCAAAAACAAGCCGTGTGGACATTTTGTTTTTGTGGGAAAAAAACTTTTTCTGCAAGGTTGGGGGCGTAAGGATCTTGTGGAAAAAGGGGGGTTTGCGCAAAAAGACGACGTCCACACGGCTTGCTTTTGCGCAAAAATGGATCGGCAGAAAATATGCAAATGAGACCATGACTCATGCAAATGAGTCCTCATTAGCATATTTTTTGCCGAGAAAACCCGTAGCATAGACATAGCAACTTTGTTTTAAGCGAGGGAAAAGGCCCGTATCCAGGGGTCCCACCACATCTAATAGCTCCGGACCCACAGGAGGGCTAATCCGATCCGGCTCAGTCCAGGTGACACCGATCGCAGACCAGTTCCCACCTCTCCAAAGTCGCCACCAGCTGCCACTACCGTCAGTTCCAGAGCCCTGCGTCCCGGAGAGCGCTGCCCGGGGGTGCTCAGACGCTGACTCAGCAAGGGGAGTGTTGACGCCAGTGAGTCAAGCTAGGGCTGTAAACTGGCCCCCAGGACAGGCACGAGGGCACAATTAAATGGGCTTGGGGGACTGGGCCCGTCTTTCGCCCCCTGGTGGCGGGTAGGAAAACAGCCACGCTCTAACTCTTGCCTCTTCTGGCTCCTTCGCAGAGATCTGGGAACAAAGGCCAGCTCTCCAGGCTGCCAGCTGTTCTGCCAAGCCCCAGGGGCGGGAGCAAGATGTTGACGCACACCATGTAAAGCACAGCTTGCCCTGTACAGCTGTGTCTACACACTGCTCCGCACTGCGCCAGGTGGGCTGGAACTCGCCCACGGGAATCCACCCGGGAGGACACTGATCCCATGCGAGAGGCAGTATCTTTGCTGCTGGCTGTCAGCCCTTGGGGAAATCTGACCAACCGCCCAGACTAAGGCATCATTTGCACCCCCCAAAGGAAAGCGCTTTTGGAGTCCTGGCGCAGAAGAGTCGGGAGGCTCCGTATGAAACTTCCACCCAGCCCAGCACCGGATTTGCCCCGAAGAGCCAAACTCAACGACAGGAGCAATTCTCCCCGTTGAGGAGGTGACACCCGCCCCATTGAGCCAGCCAATGAGATGCAAGATAGAATCATTACGTCCTCAGAACCAATCCCGATTGGCTGGTCAGAGATCCAGGGGTGCCTACTCACAATCTGGGCCACATCTGGGGTGAGCGGAACCCTGGGCAAGCAGACGGGAGCCACGTTTCCTGCCAGCCCGTCCAGGCAGAACTTGAGAAGTGAGAGTCGACCCCCAACTCTTCCTCTATCTGTCCCCCGAGGAGCCTCAGCACCACAAGCCAGGAAGGAGCTAGCGGCCGCTCCGTGAAGAAGAAATAAAGCTCCCTGGGCCAGGGGTTTCGTGTGAAATCCAGAGAAGTTGGGCCGCTCCAGTTGAGCGGAGCCTCCACCCAAGCAGCAAAACATGCTCAGGGTCTCCGAACCCTGCCCCGGGCTAGGAGGAGTGGGGCTTCCTGGGGGCAAGCCGGATTCGGCACCCTGGAGCCCAGCCGCGCACGTCTCCCTAAGGCTGCTGTGCAGATTCCGGGTGGGAATGCCCAAGCCTCCGATATGAACGCCACTTTCCGCAGGAAGGTGGGTGAGCTGTTCGAGCCGGAGTCGCCCACTGTGGGCAACCAGACCCGTGGGCAGCCATGGGAAGAGCTGGAGGTCTCGTCTGGTGACGGAGCCAACACTAGCTTGCCTAGCGAGGAGGTGTTCCTGCTGCCCACGTTCTCCACCGCTGCCAAAGTCCGGGTGGCCATCACCTTGGTCCTCTTCCTCTCCTCAGCCTGCTTCAACATCGCCGTGCTGTGGACCGTCACCCAGAAGTACCGCAAGAGGCCACACATCCGCATCCTCATTGTCAACCTGGCCACGGCCGACCTGTTGGTGACCTTTGTGGTGATGCCTTTGGACGCGGCCTGGAATATCACAGTGCAGTGGTACGCGGGTGACCTGGCCTGCCGAGCCCTCATGTTCCTCAAGCTGGTGGCCATGTACGCCTCCGCCTTCATCACCGTGGTGATCAGCCTGGACCGCCAGGCGGCCATCTTGCACCCACTGAGCATGGGCGACGCCAAGAAGAAGAACAAGGCCATGCTGTGCGGGGCCTGGGCCCTGAGCGTGCTGCTGGCACTACCTCAGGTAGGTCGCCACGGCAACGGCGCAGGTAGGGACGGACCTTGGACTAGGCCCCCGGGTAGGCACCGGAGAGCACAGCTCCCTTTTGCAATGGCTGGTAGAGCCAGGGTCCAGTCTAGGCAGAAGAGGCCTCGGCTGCACTGTGGTGCGGGGGCCCTAGATGGGATGGTGTAGTATGGGCGGGACACAGGGATATCAGACTGGATGGACCAGCTACCAGATGCAGTATGGACTGGGGATGGCATAGATCGATGGCCCAGTGCACCAGCCTTGGGCCCATACCGGCAGGGACACTGGTGTAAGGGGCAGGCGCATGAGGCCGACAGGCGAGTGCGTCACTCCGGTGGGGGTGCCAAGATCTGACTTTCTCCTGGGTGGGGGGGGTCTCTTCCAGATGTTTGTCTTCCACACCGTGAGCCGTTCCCAGCCCATCTACTTCATCCAGTGCGCCACCGTGGGCAGCTTCCACGCCCACTGGCAGGAGACCCTCTACAACATGTTCCCCTTCTCCTGCCTCTTCCTGCTGCCGCTGCTCATCATGGTGCTGTGCTACTCCCGCATCCTCATCGAGATCTCGGGCAAGATGAAGAGAGCTTGCGGTGAGCCCGGCCAGCCTCCTGCCGCCCTGTCCACAGGTTACCAGCCTGCATGAACCCCCCAGCTCACTGGGGTCTGTATGGGGGGTGAGCACACGTATGTGGGAGTACATGTGTGTATGTGCATGCGTGTGCGCACACGTGTATGGGAGCACATGCATTTCTCTCTGCCGCCTCCTCTCCTCAACCTTTTTTCTCCTTCCTTTTTTTTCCTGTCTCCCCTCGATCGCTTGCTCTTTCTTCCTTTCCGCCAACCAGGAGTCTCGCTTCTCACCTCTCTCCCCAGTTTCTCACCCACTCATTTTCCTTCCTCTTTCCGCCACTTTCTCCTCCCCAACATGTCTCTCTTCCTAGTGCTACCTATCCATCCACCCATCCTTCCTCCTCTTCCTCTCTCCAAGGAAAAACTAATCCCAGCCCTCAGCTCCAGAGAACACCCCTGGCATGTCCCCCCCCACACTCGCTTGGTGCCACATGCGGGACACAAGGACTTCACCGGGCACCACCTGCTGCCCATTAACCCAAGCAGCCGGCAGCCCTGAACCAGTCCCCAGCTGCTGTCCACCCTGCCCATTTCTGCAGCTCCAGGGGGCTGTCAGCTCCTCACTGGCTTGGGGGTGTGGGACAGGGGACCCTCACTTTTTCCCTCTTTCACGGAATTGCCCCATTTCATCCTCCGCCTCGCTCTGCTCTGGGTTACTTCATGCCCCTGCTCTCCCTCTTATGAGCGCTCTCCTCCTCCCCCCAGATTTTCCCTCCCTGTGTTCTCTCCCTCCCCACTTCTTATTCTCTCGTTCTTCCCCCCACTCCCTCTGCCCCGCAGCCTCCTCGCAGGAGGTCCACCTCCGCCGCTCCTACAACAACATCCCGCGGGCCAGGATGCGCACGCTGAAGATGTCCATCGTCATCGTGCTCACCTTCGTCCTATGCTGGACGCCCTACTACCTCCTGGGCCTCTGGTACTGGTTCTCTCCGGAGATGCTGAGCCGGAAGAAGGTGCCTCCCTCCCTCAGTCACATCCTCTTCCTCTTCGGCCTCTTCAACACCTGCCTGGACCCCCTCATCTACGGACTCTTCACCATGCACTTCCGGCGGGAGATCCGGCGCGCCTGCCCATGCTCCCACCGCAGGAAGGAGCAGGACGCCGGCTCCACCCTGATTGGCTCCTTCCGGGCCTCCACCACCGCTGTGCCCATCAGGAGAGCTGGGGAGGACGAGGGGGGCTCGGGCAAGTATGAACTGGAGGTGACGGCTCACATGGGCCTGCCTGCTGGGAGGTGTGAGCTGTGCAGGAGGAAGACGGTGGAGAGTTTCATATGAGTGGACCGTTGCCAGGCCTGGATTCGCCTCTGCTTCCCAGCAAATGGGAGAGCCCAGGACGGGCTACGGGGGTTGTTCCTGCACTCAAGCACCCACCAATAAACCCAGATTATTTTCTCAGCCGGTGACCTCTCCTGGGTCCCCTCCCTTTGTGCCCATCAGTTCCTCGCTTCCGAGCTGGGCCAGGCTGCCCAGCTGGGATGGGTGGAGGTGGATGCAGAGAGGGGGCTGCCATGGGCCTCGGCTGCTCAGAAAAGTCACAGCGAAGTCTGCTGGCAGTGTGGCCCAGCAGGCAGAGCCCTGACTCAGGAGATCTGGCGTCTAGCCTCACCTCTGCTGCTGCATGAGGTCATTTTGCCCTCTGCATACCTCCATTTCTCCACCTGTGAAATGGGGAGAAGGATCCTAACTAGGGATGTTAAAATGTGGTTAATTTACTAACCGAGTGGTCGATAGAAATTTTGACGATTCCATTAGTTGATAGGTGGCCGGCTCAGTCCCGGCTGGCACTGGGTCCGGGACCAAACCTTGCGGCAGCGCTGCAGTTTAAAAGGTAGTAGGAGCCAGGGAGCAGGCTGCCTGGCTCCTACTGCCTTTTAAATTGCAGGGCCGCAGCAGGGTTTGATCCTGGACCCAGTGCAAGCCAGGACCGAGCTGGACTGCCTGCCCAGCCAGCAGCAGCCCTGAGACAGAGACGAGAGCAGGTGGCACCACAGAGACAGTGCTGTGGGGACCCAGCTTTTAAGCCAGCTCCTCCCAGCACCTGCTCCCCGCCCTCCTTGCTGCCTCTGATACCGAGGCAGCAAGGGAGGCGGGGAATGGGAGCAGCCAAACTACTCCTTTACCTCCCTAATCCTAACCTGTGGAAAGTGCTTTGAGACTCACTGAAGAGCTAGGGAGTATTCATTTTCCAGATCCACCTCTCCATTCAAACATGCAGGAAGGAACTGGGGTGCCTGTTCTCTAGAGGGGATCCCCAAGTTTGCACTTCCATGATTCCCTTCCCGCCAGCAAATACACCTTTTGCTCTCTGAGTGCAGAAAGCCTCCTGTCCCCCCAGCAAAAATACCTGGGTCCTGATTAGGGGTCTGCCCACCTGAGAACTCCCGTCAGTCAGTGTGATCTAGGGGTCAGAGCAGGCTGACAGGCCTAGACCCATCTCTGTCACTAATGGTATGTCCACACTGCAATGTTATAGCCCTGCAGCCCAAGCCCCGTGAGCACAGGGCTTGCAGTGTGGACACCCCGGCGCTGCAGCTGTGGCCTTTTCCCTTCCTTATGTCTAATGCAGCAAGAAACTGATGGGCTGCCATAATAGAAAATAAACTATTTGCCCCCAGCAGGCAAGCTGGCCTAGTGGTTAGGGCACCAGGCTAGCAACCAGGACACCTGGCTTCAAGTCCTGGCTCTGTCACAATATGGGCAACCCCTGTACAAGGGTAAGAATAGTCATTCTAGGAGGGCTGTGAAAAGAAATAAATTGAAGCTCTGTAGCTATTATAGTGATAGGATGCTGCATGGGCTACTCTTTTTCATTTTTGAAGGGATATTTTTAGCAACTTTTGCGCTCTGGTAGGTTTTTCAGGGCTCTCTCTGTAGATGCACAAAGCACAGATTCAAATGGCATTAAGCTAAAGCACACCAGGAAACCTTTCATGCACACCAGCAGGATCAACAGCAATGAAGGCAGAGCGTGTTAGCATGCCTTGGAAATCGCACTCCTCGTCAGCTGTGTTACTGCTCTGTGTAGACAAGGCCCAAGAAATAAGCTAGGGAACAGGGACATCACTTGCCCAAACGGCACCGGGCAAAGGGTGCAGACAATAATGAAAACCATTTTCAGCATCTGCCGGATACACACCAATTTTGATTGCACTGGGGGAATTCATCGGTTAAAATCTAAAACCTTATGCTCTACCCATAGGCTGGACAAAGATTAAACTCTGCTTGAGAATGAAACCCAGACATCTGCGGTCCCATCCACTGGAATACAGTCTCCCTAACAGATACAGACAGATGTCAACAGAAGGCAGCTTTTAAAATAAAAATAAAAAGCGGATTTTTATTCAATATTTATGGGTAACATTTCTCCTTCAAAATGAGATTCCTTTACAGCATCACTCATGCCAAAACCATTCAATACACGTGGATGACTTCTCTCGTGTGAGGGATCTGAGGCCAAAAGGAGATTAAAAGTCCTAAACACAAATCAAGAGCTGTCCAAAAACATATAGGTTCAAATGCAGCACAATTAAAAACCCAGAAAGAGATAGAGCCAGGAGTCAGCCTACAAGAGACTTCCTGGTTCCAGAGCTGTACAGCAAGAATTTACATCTAGGAATCGCCAAAAGGAAATGGAGAAATGTGAGATCAGCGTCGTCTCCTATCCGGACTCCTGCTGCGCCTACGCCCGCTCCTGGAAGAGACAGACAGAGACATATATACGCTAGTCTGAGCTGACATCTCTGAAGATCTGAAAGCCCTTTTCAACTTCTATGTGCTATTTAGGGCTATGTTCCTTGCCAAAGAAATGCAGCTAGCTTTGGAGTGGAGGCAGGCAGGTATTTAATAATGCAGAGCAACAAGAAAATATTCACTTATCGCTCATGCAACGCTCTCAGTGTGCTTCATTAAAAGTAGGTGAAACAGGTCCCCATTTCGCAGAAACTGAGTCACAGAGCCCTTCAATGACTTGCCCAAATTCACGTGTCAATGGCTGAGCCCAGACTAGTAAGATCTCGATTGCCAGCCTCCTGCTCAGACCACTGACGAATACAACCCAACAAAATTCCCAATTGGTAAGAACTATTCAGGGCCCACTGGAAA